TAGAGGCATTCTCTCCTGACGTTTCACCTGCATCTGTGGCAAGCATCCTCAGAGGTAGTGAGCTATTTTCCAATTTTGCTTTGGAAAATTTCCAAATGACATGTATTGGATCTCCCATAATGGTGATTAGGGCAGAAACTTCCAAGTGAGAAGGCTTAGCTTCTGAGTAGACCTCAAGTCTGGCATCATGAAATAATTATGAAATAATTATAATTAGGAATCCAAACTGTAGCACATCTGAGGATGTGAACTGTGTTTGGTTTATAACATTATTTTCATTCCCTGTCTTCTCTTTTTCAAAGTAGTACAGTGATGCCTTGACTTAAGAGTTTCATTCATTCAGTGACCAAGCTCTTAACTCAAAATGCTCTTATCTCAAGTGAAGTTTCCCATTGAAATATTAATCCATTCTGAACCCCTAACCCCTTCCCCCAAATTTTTTGTTTGTGTTTATAAATAAGAAAAAATGTTCTTTATAAATAACAATGTATAAATGCACATTCACATGGAACAATAAAAAAGAAAGATCAGGTTTAAAATGGTAGAAGCACAAAGTTTTAGCAAGGAAGCAAATTGGAGGCAACAAAATGTGTGTTGGCCAGTGCAACAGCAAGACAAAACCTGCATATTCACATGGAACAATAAAAAAGAAAGATCAACTTTAAAATAGTAGAAGCACAAAATTGTGGCACAATGGTAGAAGCATAATGTTGAAGAAAGCACAAAGTGAAGAGGCATAAGCATCCTTTTCTTCATACTGTACTCATTGTGCTGGTACGGCCGTACCAGAAGCTCCAGCTTTATTTGCTTTGTATTAAATGTTTGCTTGCAGTCCAAGGCTTGGGATTCTGCAGAAGGGTGGCTTCCTGTTAAAGCTTGCAGTTATAGAGCAGGCCACCTGTCCATCATCATTAAGCTTTGGTTCCGCCCCCTGTTCAGGCTCTGAGGGGGATAGGAACCATTTTGTCAGTCTCAGCAAGGAAAGCTAATGTACAGGACGTGTGCAAGCTTCCCCTGTACAAAAGCTTCAACTCTTAAGACTTTCCCGGGGGGAAACAGTCTTAAGAGCATCCAAAGATTCCCAAAGATTCCCAGGGAAACAGCCCTAAAGCTCTGAGGAATTTTGGAGGGAAAAACAGCTTTGAATATCAAAGAACTCCAGCTGAAGAGACTACAGGCCTTGCTGGTAGGTCCACTTGGTGCTTTGAGACGCAGTTCAAACCGGTAGTGGGGCCCACATCAATTAGGTTTAGGTTCACAGTCAGCCTGGGAGAAGTTAGAAGGGGATTTTCCTTTAAAGTAAAGTAACAGTTAGAAGCCACCAGTTGCACAAAAGCCTGGAAGCATTTGTTTAACCTTTTGAAGACAAGAGAAGTTTCTGTTTGATTGTTCCTCAATAAAAGACTTTGTTATATTTCACAAGCCCTCTAAAGACTGTTTGTGGTGGAAAATCCCTAAGAGCTTCTCTTCGGGGGCCCTGGCTTCCCGCTGGGCTCAAGCTGCACGTCCTGTTTTAAAGGCACTTCATTTCAAGCCCAGCGGGCGACAGAACACTCATTCCAGCCTACCTTCCTTTCTCTCTCTCTCCCCCTCTGTCTTTCTTCATGAAGCCAAACATACCAGGAAGAAAAACCACACAAAACCAATTAACCCAAAGTTCCTCAAAGCAGACAGGAGCAATCTCCCAAAGCAGACAAAAGTACGAGGCACAGAGGCTGCTCTCTTGAACCTCTAAAGTCTTGTTCTCTCGCACTAGCACTCCCTCTGGCAATAGCGCTCCCTCTGGCACTAGCTCTTAACTCAAAATGCTGCTCTTTTGTCAAAGCAAACAGTTCTTAACTCACACACTCCTAAGTTGGGAAGCTCTTGAGTAGAGATTCCGCTGTATCATAATTTGCTCCCTGTGCTAATCACAAATAGTTTTTCAAAAAGCATATGTATTTTCCCCCAACATATTTCATCCATATCTGCTGGCAATGCTCACATTCTCAAAGATATGGACAGCTAATAAGTTGACTTATGACAAACATAATAAGTCTGCATATTGCATGATTGCTTGGTAATGTGAAAGTAAAAAAAATGAGGCATATGATCAAGAGATTTCTTTTGAATGTATATGCACTTCTGCTCCTTATACTTGCAACTGGCTCCCAGAACACCAGAATAACAATTACTTCCTTCACATTCCCCCTGAAAATCCATTTTCCATTTAAGCCTTTGGCACTTTCTCCCAGTCCTTAAATTCAAGTGTAACTGAGGCTAAGTGCATGTTACTGAAATGACAGCACGTTTTTTCCTGACTACATAATGATAGCACTTTTTTCATGTCTCCCCTTCCTCTGTCTCCTGTGTATTGAATAATAGATGGTAACCCCTCTAGGGAAGGACCTGTCATGTTGTACTCTAAAATATTGTGTACAGTGATGACACTATATAAATAATCCAAACTTGGAAAAGTCACTTTTTAGACTATTGCCTGGGCAGCATGCTGGGAGCATGGAGTATACTAAGAACTTTAGTTAAAAGAGCAACTTTTCAGGACACTTCAAATAATAATAATGTTCTTTTTCTGAGTTCATATCTCTGTTATACTAAATTGGGGAACTCTTTGAGAGAGAAATATCTAGCTTTCCTCTTCTTGTTTAAGGAATGGTGACCAGCTGACATTTCATAGGTTAAATTTGACCTGCAAAATGTTTAAAGGGCTTCCAGATTTTAAAATCGAGATCTGGTTAAATGTTTCCCAATTTTCACTGATACGGGGAAAAAAATGATTTGAGGTGTAAAAGTGTGTTTGAATTTTGAATACATATTTGAACAGTGGGATAAACTACTTCAGAAAGTGGTGGCTTCTCCTCCTTTACAACCCGGTGGCGCAGTGGGTTAAACCCCTGTGCCAGCAGGACTGAAGACCCGACAGGTCGCAGGTTCAAATCCAGGGAGAGGCGGATGAGCTCCCTCTATCAGCTCCAGCTCCTCATGCGGGGACATGAGAGAAGCCTCCCCCAAGGATGATAAAACATCAAAAAATCATCCAGACGTCCCCTGGGCAACATCTTTGCAGACAGCCAATTCTCTCACACCAGAAGCAACTTAGAGTTTCTCTAGTTGCTCCTGACACAACAAAAAAACCCCTCATTAAATGTTTTTTCTGGAATTGCCACTCAATAGCAATGAGTGTGCAATGCTTAGAGCAGTGGTTCTCAACCTTTCTAATGCCGCGACCCCTTAATACAGTTCCTCATGTTGTGCTGACCCCCAACCCAGGCCCGTAGCCAGGATTTTGTTCCGGGGGGGGGGCTGAGTTTGGTTCGGGGGGGCTGAGTCTGAGTGAAAGAGGATCTACCCTAGCAAACCTTAGTATTGTTACCCCAATACCCCCATGCATATGGGATATATTGAGTATAGTGATCAGATCATGATATGAATAAACATAGCAGTTTAAATAATGAACCAGTAAGGCCTTCTCACGGACCACCATCAGAATTCCCCCCCCCCCTTCCTGGCTACATGCCTGCCTCAACCATAACATTATGACCGTTGCTACTTCATAATTGTAATTTTGGTACTGTTATGAATCGTAATGTAAATACCTGATATGCAGAATGTATTTTCAGTCACTAGACCAAATTTGGCACAAATACCCAATACGCCCAAATTTGAATACTGGTTGGGTTGGCGGGAGGATTGATTTTGTCATTTGGGAGTTGTAGTTGCTGGGATTTATAGTTCACCTACAATCAAAGGGCATTCTGACCTCCACCAACGATGGAATTGAACCAAACATGGCACACAGAACTCTCATGACCTACAGAAAATACTGGAAGGGTTTGGTGACCTTGAGTTTTGGAGTTGTAGTTCATCTACATCCAGAGAGGTCAAACAATGATGGATCTGGACCAAACTTGGCACAAATCATCAATACCCAAATATGAACACTGGTGGAGTTTGGGGGACCTTGACATTTGAGAATAGTAGTTACTGGGATTTATAGTTCACCTACAATCAAGGAGTGACCATCACTCAAAAAAATGATTTTGTCATTTGGGAGTTGTAGTTGCTGGAATTTATAGTTAGCCTACAATCAAAGAGCATTCTGAACTTCACCAACGAATGAATTGAACTAAACTTGGCACACAGGACCAGGCCCGTAGCCAGGATTTCATTTCGGGGGGGGGGCTGAATTTTTTTCGGGGGGAGGGGCTGAGTTTCGGGGGGGTGAGTCTGAGTGAAAGAGGGTCTACCTAGCAAACCTTTTGTATCGTTACCCCAATACCCCCATGCATATGGGGATATATTGAGTATGGTGATCAGATCATGATATGAATAAACATAACAGTTTAATAATGCACCAGTAAGGCCTTTTCGCGAACCACCATGAGAATTTGGGGGGGGGGGGCTGAAGCCCCCCCCCCCCCCCCGGCTACATGCCTGCACAGGACTCCTATGACCAACAGAAAATACTAGAAGCGTTTAGTGGCCATTGACTTTGAGTTTTGGAGTTGTAGTTCACCTACATCCAGAGAGCACTGTGGACTCAAACAATGAAGGATCTGGACCAAACTTGGTACCAATATTCCATATGTCCAAATATGAACACTGAAGGAGTTTGGGGGAAATAGACCTTGACATTTGGGAGTTGTAGTTACTGGGATTTATAATTCACTTACAACCAAAGAGCATTCTGAATCCCACCAATGATAGAATTGGGCCAAATTTCCCACACAGAACCCCCAACAGAAAATACTGTGTTTTCTGATGGTCTTTGGTGACCTCTCTGACACTCCCCTCGTGACCCTCCTAAGGGTCCCAACCCGCAGGTTGAGAAGTGCTAGCTTAGAGGAATGAGTAAATATTCCTGGAGAATTGTGTTTTCGAACCTCAGACCATTTTACACATTTTCACCACAGTGTTCAGATCTTTGGTTTATTAAATGCACAATGCACACATGCCAAATCAGTAATTCTCTCTAATGCCAATATTCCATCTTTCCTAAACAGGTAATTCTCAGATGGCTCAATGAAAACAAAACGATGACAAGTTGTGGTCTACAGTCCTTAAATACACTGGTGGTCGTGTTCTATGTGCTCTTGCCAGCAGGTAAAGTTCATTCTATTGTTTCTTCCTAGTTTGTTTGCTACGTTCTAGAGTTATAACTAAATTTAGTCCTTTCTTACAAAAATAACATTTCTTACCAAAACTTAAAAGCATAGACTTGATCATGTGGAATAGATGAAGAAAATTTTTGTTTACAATAGCTTGTAGAGACATATGGCCACCCAGACATTGTTCAACTACAACTCACAACAGCTCTAGCCATCGTAGTAAATAGTGTAGAATGCTGAAAGTAGCCATCCAGTGACATCTGGAGGGCCACATACTCCCTATATCCCAGATTTACTTCCAAATACAAGAGTGTTGTTGATAATATTATTGTTTATCAGGAAAGGAAGTGATTCGTTACAGATTGCAAATTCTAGAGATTGAGAATTTAAAACATGCTATCCCATGAGAAAAATCCATACTTAATTATTGTTGGTTGGGACAAAGCAAATGGGTGCAGTTTGGTGACTTACCAATATGTTTTGGCCAAGAAAGCTAAAAGACCTTGTATAACTACAACTCTCATGATTCCCTAGCATTGAGCCATAGAAGCAGAATGATGTTCAATTGCATGAATTTTACGGTGCAGATATAACCTGGCTGTGGGTCATTAAAATTGTCGGTCATAATATATAGAGGAGAAAGAGATGCACAAAGAAATGGGTTAGATTCTACACAATATATTACAGGTTTCAGACTGTTGGGAAAATAATTTTCCCATTTGAGAATACACATGTTTCTCTATTTTTGAAAACAGAAAATGCCAGTATTATTTGGGGTTCTCTCAATTTGTAGGTAAAGAAGAAAAGCACATACCAATTTTCATGTTAGCAAAATTGGAGGGTAGTTTTGCACGAAAGTCTAGGTTGAAAAAATCCTATGTAACAAAACAAACCAATTTGGGTGCTGCTACTTGTTGGTGGGAGAGAGAATAATAAGGAATGAAGTTCCACCTAGAGGTGTACATGTTCTTCCTCCATTTGGCATTTCTATATAAATAAAAATGTAATGTTCATTTGTGGGATTAACGTAACTCAAAAATCACTGGATGAATTGCTGCCAAATTTGGCCACAAGACACCTACTAACCCAAGGAGTGACCATCACTCAAAAAATTGATTTTGTCTTTAGGGAGTTGTAGTTGTTGGGATTTATAGTTCACCTACAATCAAAGAGCATTCTGAACTCCACCAATGCTGGAATTGAACCAAAACTGGCACACAGGACTCCCATGACCAACAGAAAACATTGGAAGGGTTTGGTAGGCATTGACCTTGAATTTGGAAGTTGTAGTTCATATTTATTTATGTATGTATGTATGTATGTATGTATGTATGTATTTATTTATTTATTTATTTATTTATCGTGTCAGTAGCAACCAGACATTTGTATTACATTTTTAACAAAACAAACAAATAAACAGACAAAACACAAAGTTTGCAAGATTGGTAGTTGATTAAATGTCCTTTGAACAGAGCTGTGATGGCACGGTCATCAGCATAGATCAGTGGTTCTCAACCTTGCTAATGCCGTAACCCCTTAAAACAGTTCCTCATGTTGTGGAGACCCCCAACCATAATTTTTTTTGTTTTTTATTCATAACTGTAATTTTGCTCCTGTTATAAATTGTAATGTAAATAGCTGTTATTCAGGATGCATTTTCATTCACTGGACCAAATTTGACACAAATACCCAATACACCGAAATTCGAATACTGGTGGGGTTGGGGGGAGTTTGTCACTTGGGAGTTGTAGTTGTTGGAATTTATCGTTAACTTACAATTAAAGAACATTGCGAACTCCACCAGTGATGGAATTGAACCAAACTTGGCACACAGAACTCCCACGACCAGCAGAAAATACTAGAAGGGTTAGGTGGGTTTTGCCTTGAGTTTTGGAGTTGCAGTTCATCTACATCCAAAGAACACTGTAAACTCAAACAATGATGAATCTTGATGTCAAACTTGGCATGAATACTTAATATGCCCAATCATGAACACTTTTGGGAGTTTGGGGAAAATAGACCTTGACATTTGGGGGTTGTAGTTGCTGAGATTTATAGTTCACCTATAATCAAAGACAATTCTGAACCCCACCAACGATAGAATTGGGGCAAACTTCCCACACAAAACCTCAATAGAAAATACTGTGTTTTCCGATGGTCTTTGGTGATCCCTCTGACACTCCCTGGTGACCCCCCAGGGGTCCCGACCCCCAGGTTGAGAAACGCTGGCATAGATGAAACTCTCTGTCCCTTCTGGCAGTGGCTGGTCATTTGTGTAGATGTTGAACATGGATGGAGCAAGCACGCTCCCCTGAGGCAGGCCGTTCTTCTGTTTCCGCCATCTGCTTCTCTGGCCCTGGAACTCATCAAAAAAGCTCCTGTTTTGTAGCAGGTTTCCTATGAGGCAGGTGAGATGGTAGTCCTTTGTGATATTATACATTTTCTCAGGAGGAGGCGGTGGTTTACAGTATCATAAGCCACTGACAAGTCTATGATCTGCTGCCTTTCAAAGCCATCTTCTATGTGCTGAGTCAGGTTCAGCACTTGTGATGTGCAGCTTTTGCCTTTCCTGAAGCCAGCTTGCTGTGGAATCAGACATGGATCTATTTTTTCCATAATTCTATGCAAAATAAGTCTCTCCAGAACTTATTTGTAGAGGTGGCACAACAGGGAGATTGGTCTACAGCTTTTTGGATCATTACGGTCTTTGCCTGGCTTCAAGATGACGATGACTCTTGCTTTCCTTTAGATTTTGGGGATCTGGCAGTTCATTTACATCCTGAGAGCAGTGTGGACTCAAACAATGATGGATCTGAACCAAACTTGGCACAAATATTCCATATACCCAAATATGAACACAGAGTTTGGGGGAAATATACCTTGGCTTTTGGGAGTTGTAGTTGCTGAGATTTATAGTTTACCTACAATCAAAGAACATTCTGATATGAAAGTTTAATATTTTAATACAATCCAAACAAAGCAGCTGGGGGTCAGTGAGAACGTATACATTTCTGCTAAGCGATTATTTATAGCATTGCACATACATATCACATAATCTAATTTGCTTTACCTGCTTTTCACTGTAGTAATTCTCAGGCTATGTGTCTGAGGAGTTCATGAATTTTGATCACTTTGTCGTTCAGGCGAACTGATTTTCTTTATTCAAGGGGAGAAATATCTCACAAATCTTTTATATGAACATCCAGTTTTGTACAAGGTGTAATGAATTATAATAGTTTGCACCTGTCCTTTTTCAAACATTTTAAAAACTCTTTTACTGAAAACCAATGCAAACCGTAGGACCAGGGAGCGTATCAGACAACCAGCTGCTGCAATTTATCTTCTCGTGTCCACTGATATAACATACTGTTGTTGCTGCCATTACTTCCACGTACAAAACAATTTACATCCAATTTCAAGCTACATTATGAATTTGACTATAAAGTGTACAATGTGGAAGGGTGTGAGTTTAAATGACAAGCTTTAAGGCCCCTTCCACACAGCTATATAAAATCCACATTGAATTATATGACAGTGTGGACTCAGATAACTCAGTTCAAAGCAGATATTGTGGATTACCTACCTTGATATTTGGGTTATATGGCTGTGTGGAAGGGCCCTGAGTGTCATTCACACACACACACACACACACACACACACACACACACACACACATAATATATTATATATGACGTGAGATGTTCTGAATTTACAAAACCAATTAAAGAGCTGTGTTTCCATTGTGCAAACTCAAATTCAGTCTTTTATATTGGGAGAGCTTATTTACCTGGGATATCTGTCCTGGTTGACGAGGTTTGGGATATTAAGAACTAGGGCAGCGTTTCTCAGCATGCGGGTCAGAACCCCTGGAAGGGTGTCAGAGGGGTTGCCAAAAATAATCAGAAAACACAGTATTTTCTGTTGGCCATGGGGGTTCTGTGTGGGAAGTTTGGCCCAATTCTATCATTGGTGGGGTTCAGAAAGCTCTGATTGTAGGTGAACTATAAATCCCGGAAACTACAACTTCCATATTGAGGAATCGTGCCAAGTTTGGTCCAGAACCATAATAGTTTGAGTCCCCAGTGCTGTCTGGATGTAGGTGAACTACAATTCCCAAACTCAAAGGCAATGCCCACCAAACCCTTCCAGTATTTTCGGTTGGTCATGGGAGTTCTGTGTGCCAAGTTTGGTTCAATTCCATTGTTGGGAATTGTTCAGAATGACAATGATGATGTGGCAATGCAGGAGGCTTCCCATGTTGCATTAGAATCAACTGGGGGGAGCCGAGTGGTGGATGCTTCCCCGTGTGGGATGGTGTAAAGGGGAAGCTGGGCAATGTTGGACATGGGGCAATGGATTTGCCTAACCCCCCCCCCCCACACACACACACACACACTGGGTGCCACCACATTCACCACAATCCATGGCCATTCTGGTGATAAATAATTGTAAACTATTCTATTTGCATTTAGTCATCAATGAATACCAAAATAAAATCATTAATATTTCTTAATAATGATGATTCAAATGCCTAAAGCTTCTTGTTTCTGGCATAGTACTTTCAATATTTGAGTGTTTATGGATTCATAAAAATCTAGGACACTCAAGATAGCCAAAGTTTCTATGTGGATGGGCTGAGATGTGTATTCAAAGGTGCCATGGTGTCTGGAATGGTCCTATGTACATTGAAGACTACATTTATAAGTAACATCATGGAGGTAACCCTATCAGTAGTCATAACTAGAGTAGATCAACAGCCAGTTATGATGTCCTAAAAGCCAATTACTATCAACACTTATGTAAGTCCCATTGATTCATTGGGTTAGTTTCATAGATTCATTGAGTCTGTTGGGGAACTACTATTTTCTTGGGGAAAATAGTAGTTGTATTGAGTCCACGGAGATTTCTTGAATTTTTTGGGCTAACCGAAGTTTGGTCCCAAATATGGTTGATTAAAATTTCTAAACTTATACATGAGTATCTATAGTATATGGTTACAGCTCTTACATTAAAAATCTTGGGGCTTCAAAATATTACAGTCTCTTTGCTTGTTTATTTATCATGCCAGGAGCGAACCAAAACAGTTGTATTGCATTAAAAACAAACAAACAAACAAAACACAAAGTTTGCAGACTTGGTATCCTATTAAATGTCCTTTGACCAGTAGCTGGCCACTTGGAGTGCCTCTGGTGTTGCTGCAAGAAGGTCCTCCATTGTGTATGTGGCAGGGCTCAGGTTGTATTGCAGTAGGTGGTCTGTGGTTTGCTCTTCTCCACACTCACATGTCGTGGATTCCACTTTGTAGCCCCTTTGCTTGTGATTTAAATTAATTTCCTTTTAACAATTAAAAGTTTTGATGTTTTATAATAACCAGAGTGGCTCTTATACTACATTTTCTAAGTAAGGAGCCTATCCCCCTCCCTCCTGACAGGTCAAAGTAGGCCCCTTGATTGATGAATGTAAGCTGTAAACTGTATGCTTCTTTCAGAAAAAAAATATAGACACGTGCCTTTTGTATGTTGGAGGATAGAATTTGATATTTCTATGATGCTAAAGTGATGCAGTGAATGATGTCAGTGTATGTAGAAGCATGTTTCTTTGTTTGCCTGCATTTTAAGGGTATAAAAGGCACAGTCAATACCTTTATCTGGCAGTCTGGTTGCTTTTGGACACAGCTTCACTCCAGGGTCCCAGCTGGAAATAAAGAAATTTACTTTTCTTTCTCCGGAAAGGATCTCTCTTGATATTATCTCTCCTGTTTGCAGCCACAAGAGAAGGCTAAAAGAGTTTGTGAAACTATAACTCTGGTGACTCCATAGGATTGGGCCATGGCAGTTAAAGTGGTCTTGAACTGCATTAATTTTACAGTGTAGATGCACCCAAAGACAGCAAAACAGCATTATAAACAAACACACACACACACATCATTACCCTACCAACGCCATACAGATATACAGAATCCCGATTTCCACTGCAAATCAGGATTAAAGAACGCATGGCCTTCCAGATGTTGGGATTGCAGTTAGTGCAACCAAGGGAACGATGGTAGAAACAAATCCTGTGCTGTCGCACGCTGGGCCTGTGCATAAGACTGTAGACAGGACATAAATTCTGTGTGCCCAACGGGATGCCAGGGCTGCCGCAGATTAAAGGCCCTTAGATTTCCTTAAAGCAGAATCTCTAGAATACTTAAAGGTTCAACAAAGTTCTTTATTAATGAAAACAAACAGGTACTTTAAGGCTTTCTTAATAGTCTATTGGCTCTCTCAATCTTGTTCACTGGGAACAGGCACTATCTGCTTAACTGTAACTAATGGGGAAATCCTTAACTTCTAATCTGGGTAGTCTGTCTTTGCCTCTGTTGGCGTGGAGCCCCTACACCCGGTACCAACTGCTTCTGGCTTCCACGAGAGACCCTTACCGGGCAGAGCTTTGTAGACTTCCAGGTGAAAAGAAGGAGTTCAGATTTCAGTGATGGCTGACTGAAGTCCCTCAGCAAAGGAGCTGTAAGGCTGTATGATCCTCGGCCAAGCTGTGGGGCTGTATCTCCCCAGCCAAGCTGTAGGCTATATATCTCCCCGGCCAAGCCGTAGAAGACGAAGCTTTCTACAGGAGCTCTTCATTTTATGTCCTGTGCGAAAGGCTTCTCTATGTGGACTGAACTCAAAAAGGCTCCTATTCCCTCCAAAAACCCAAAAGGGGCGGGACCAGGGAACCTAACTATAATTGACAGGTGGCTTGCCCTATGATTGCAGCCAAAAGAAGCCACCTATCTGCAGAGTCCCTGAAACTTAGGACTGCAACAAACATTAAATGCAAAGCAAACAAAATTGGAGCTCCTGGTACAGCTGTACCTGCACAGATCCAATAATGTAAAAGGCCCACTTGTATTTCTCAGTTCTGCAGGAAGTAGACAAATAGCTATATAGTGATGATCAACTAGTAACCTCCCAGTTTAAACCTTACTTTGAGCCACAACGTGGCTTCTATAATAGGGCTTTCTAACAAAGCTGAGAATTCTAAGCCTTCCACAGATGGTTGAATTACATCTCTCAGCAATCCTAGCTAGTACAGCTAATGAGGAGGAACACTGGGAGACGCAGTTCAGCGTCATCACACAATTCTCATCACTAACTTAGGGGAAAAATTTAAGTCAGCTCCCCACCTACCAGCACAGGAAAGAACTGGGATTTTATGAGAAAATATATGTCAAAACTACTTCCTGACTTTCAATTGCAACTGAGTTACAAAGAGATTTGTCTTTGTCTTATAGCCCTATCTGCACATTTCCGGGTCTGTGAGCCATATACAGACTACAAAGGCCGCTCCCATTTTGGATTCCACTGCCCACGCCTTTCTGACAATAAATCGTACATCTTCTGCTGTCACCATAACAACACCGTGTTTAAATATTGCTGTAATGAGACGGAGTTTCAGACTGTTATGCAGATGAACCTAACAGTGGAAACGGATGGATATATGCATAAGTAAGTAAACAAGGTGGCACATCTTTTTGTTCTTCTTCTTCTACAGAATGTATTCTGAGTGTAATCAAAATTGTCATTGAAGCAGGTAGCAAAAATGTTTAAATGTAAGTCCATAGCTAAAAATAATAAAATTGAAAAATAGCAAGAAAATAATCGACATTTTCTAGATAGCACAAAATGGTATATGCGCCTAATCGCTATTTTAATTTTGTGCATGTTCTGCATATTAATTATTAGTAATTATTTGCACTTGATAAACAAAGTGCATTTGGATTGGATCTTTCTGGAGTGTAATCTCTCCTTGAGGTTTCATTGTATATTTTCATCTTAAGCAATGGCCTATTTTTTTTCCTTTTGTCTTCATACCCATTTTTGTTTCTACACTGTTTAAAGAGCAGGATTTGAAGAACCATCAAGGTATAAAGCACCTTTCAAAGCAAAGTCGTATTTGAGCCAAGCAGGCGAAAATCTTAATCTATTTTCTTTATTAGAACTCTGCTGAGCAAAAGGTGAAATAGTGATATTGACCTAATAACGCTGCCAGTGTGATCCCTATTTCCTGTCTTCCGATGACATGGTTTTGTCTACATATATTAACCATAGGTTGTACCAGTTCAGATAAAAAAACACATTATTGCTAATGGAAAATAGAGAGGAATAATTTCACTCTCTACACAACTCTACCAGAGGAAAGGAGAGGGGTCAAATATGCAATCATGAAATTCTTTCATGCAACACTAACTAATACTGTATGGTGTAGAGTACTGTTGAGCATATGCCATTAAATAATAAAAACTAGCCAATATGCATCTTTTTCACCATATTTAAGCAAGAATGCGACTAAGGTGATGATAAGAGGAAGGGTGGGATGGAAGAGGAGGATTCCCATCTTTTTCCAGTTTTCCAATTTGGGATTCAAAGCACCTTATGAATGTGTGTGTGTTTGAGAGAGAGAGAGAGAGACAGACAGACAGACAGACAGACAGACAGACAGACAGACAGACAGACAGAGTATTCACAAAATATACAAGTTAGAAAATAGGTACCAGTCACAGATGCAGGCAAAGTGTCAGGAGAGAATGCTGCTGGAACATGGTCATACAGCCTGAAAAACTCACAGCAACCCAGTTAGAAAATAATTACAACAAATATAAACCACTTAAAAACATAAGCCACAAAAAGCACAAAAGCACAAAAAAAAGAAATAAAAAAACAAACAGATTGTGTCTGTCTCAACTACACAGTCCTCAGGGGTCTGTTGAAATAGAAAATTATTCAGCTGTTTACAGAAAGAGAATAAGAAGCCTACCAGTCTACTATATTTGAGAAGAGAGTTCCAATGCCTTAAAGCAGCCACCTAGAAGGCCCTATCTTTCGTGTTCTCACCAGATATATCTATATTGTTGATGGCAGAGAGAAAAGTATTTATTTATTTATTTATCATACTTTTATCCAGCCCTTCTCACAGAGGCAATTTCTCTTGTAAACCATTTCTTGTAAACCGCATTTTTGTGTACGAACCCACGCAATCTCTTTGATCATCTGGAGAGGCCCTGCTCACACTCCCACCTCCTTCGCAGGTACAATTGGTGGGGACGAGGGAGAAGGCCTTCTCGGTGGTGGCCCCCCAACTCTGGAACTCACTTCCCAGGGACATTAGACATGCCCCAACGTTGGCATTTTTTAGGAGGAGCCTGAAAACATGGTTGTTCCAGTGTGCCTTCCTAGACTAAGGAGAACTCTCAGCAATATGCCCTCATAATACACTTTAATACTGACTTAAGATTGACTGCATTCCCTCATTTCTCTCTGAAAAATCCTATCTCAGTTATATTTTACCTTGTTCACGTCAGCATATTTTCAATTTTAATCCATTACATTTGGCCCGGCCATTTTTAAAATGTTTATATGTCTCTATTGATTGTTTATTATTTTGTTCATGTGATTTATATGATTTGTATTTTATTGATTGTTTTATTGATGTTGTGTTTATTGATGTTTTGTTTGATGTATTTTGGGCTTGGCCTCATGTAAGCCGCACCGAGTCCCTTGGGGAGATGGTAGCGGGGTGCAAATAAAGATTATTATTATTATTATTATTATTATTATTATTATTATTAAAAGTATTACTCAATGCACTCTCATTCAAATATATATATTGAGAGGTACAGTAGATCTAACTCAACCACACTGGCCAACCATATGCCTATGAGGACTACTCAACCAAGAAAAAAGAGCAGTAGCACCCATAATTTCCCAGCAATTGGTTCTGAAATTTATAATTTGGCAATGGAAGTATTTTTTTAATGCGAGTTAATGTTTGCTACATAGTTTGTGATGCTTCCTTTTGCTCCTTTGTGTGAAGACATAGGGAAATTTCCTGCTGTGTGATGTAACAATAGAAGATGTTTACAACAGAAAGGTCTGCAAAAAGCTTCTGGGCAAGGTATTGTTCCACACTAGGTATTGGCTGTCTCATGGGAATAAAATACTTTTCACCTCCAATTATGCTATATTTGAAAATCTATAAATAAATATCATAGCCACACCATATGACTTTTGTGACTACCATAGAACACAAGAGACTCTAGAACTTCTCTCCGTATGAAAAAAGGAAAATCCAAAACAATATACTCTATATCAGGGGTCCTCAAACTTTTTAAACAGAGGGCCAGGTCACAGTCCCTCAAATTGTTGTAGGATTGGATTAGAATTTGAAAAAAAAAAAGAATGAATTCCTATGCACACTGCACGTATCTTATTTGTAATTGAAAAAACCCACTAAAAAACAATACAATAATTAAAATGAAGAACAATTTTAACAGATATAAACTTATTAGTATTTCAATGGGAAGTGTGGGCTTGCTTTTGGCTAATGAGATAAGATTGTTGTTGTTTTTGTTGTTGTTGTTGTTGTGTGTTTTCAAGTCATTTCAGACTTAGGTTGACCCTGAGCGAGGGCCGGGTAAATGACCTTGGAGGGGCATATCTGGCCCTCGGGTCTTAGTTTGAGGACCCCTGCTCTATATATTCGTGTGTAGGTCTAGAATTTTTCAATAAAATCCAGATTATCTCCTTTAATTGAAGGGGATGATCTGCTTTGATAATCTGGATTATATCGCAGTGAAGAAGGAACTCTAGTTTCATGCAAATGTTTCAGACTTCAATTGTGTTGTGACTCAGCTGGAACCACAGATTCAGATCTGTGATTCAGATGGGGTCTCACAGTTACTCTGACGAGGATGATGGGATTCAGGTTCACAATCAGGTTCAAAGTGTTCCTGTTGTTGACAATGAGGAACAGGGTTTGCAAGTTCAGTTTCCCACAGCAGGGAATGATGTTTTTGATACTGAAACTAGCCAGGTGCAAATTGACTCAGAAAAGGAGGACAATTCTCAGCCTGATAGTAAGCAGGAAGACAACCAGGCTGACACTAATGAGCACCTTGATGATACAGGAACCTTAGATAGGGCTGACCATTTGGAATTCAGAGTTCAGAGGAGTGTGAGAATAGCTAACAAGAAGGAGGTTAGAGGCCAAAGAAATGCTTTCATGTGTTACAAAGGGTATTAAGCAGGATGTTTGAAAACAAACCTTTGTCAGAGCAACTTTTTGCTCAATCAAGCAGCTTGTGCTCGTTTGCCTGGATTATCTTGTAGTTCTTGTGTCCATGGTCTTGGGACTTTGTCATGTTCTCGTGGTATTTTGTTTTGTTGGTGCCTCTTCGAATCATGCTTCATAGTGCTATGTTATATTGAACTTTTGGAACATGATTTGCTTTTAAGAACTTTTTATATTTTACTTTTCAATAAACTACAAAGACTTCAGTCCGTGTGCAGTTTGGTGATTTCAGCAAGGTGAATCTATTCTGAGGTGCGACAGATTGGCATGTTGGCTGAAGTGAATCCCGGAAGTCGTTTCCCTAAAAGTAGCTTTTCCCAACTTCAGTGCCATGATATCATTGAATTAGCTTCATAATACTTGGTTAGTCTATATAAACCTAGCATGAAGAGTAATCCTCCGGCCCTGTTTACCTCTCCGAATGTATTCTCCCCTATGAACCATCAAGATTATTAAGATCATCTGGAGAGGCCCTGCTCTCGGTCCCACCGGCCTCACAAGCGCGTCTGGTGGGGACGAGGGACAGGGCCTTCTCGGTGGTGGCCCCTCGACTATGGAACTCTCTCCCACTGGAGATCATAACCGCCCCTTCTATCCTGACATTTAGGAAACAGGTGAAGACTTGGTTATGGAGACAGGCATTCGACGAGTGAGCCAACACCCTGAGATATGGATGGAGGATGAGGAGCAATGATTTTAGTGCAACGACTGGCCATTATAGTTATTGATTGTAATTGCTGTTTTAATGTTTTATTGTAATATGTATGTAATAATGTTTTATTGATTGTATGTGATATTATGGTTGGAAACCAGTCTGAGTCCCTCAAGAGAGGTGAGAAGGCCGGTATACAAAACTTTTAAATAATAATAATAATAATCCCCCCCCCCAAAAAAATGGCATCAAAATGGGGGGAGGGGAGCAGGCAAAAGTAGCAAAATGAAAATTAAAGTTTGGGTGAGATTATTCTGGAAAATACTGAATTCTGCTTTTTCCTCTCCTCCCTTCTTTGCACAAAAGAAATGGTTTGGTTATAATAAATGTACCCAAAAATTGCTATTATTTCAGACATGATGTAAATTATCAATTTGCTGCCTTATTTCCAGTCTGTAATTACATCTTTCTAAATGAGATTGAAACAGGAACTGGGAAGGACATCTTTTCGTTGTAAGAACAAACTGGTTGTGCTTCATTAAGCATAATTTATTTTTTAGGTGTTCCAGCTAAACAACCACAGTAATTGCTATGAACTAGGAAACTGAGCTTGTCCTTCCTTTTTAGCAGGAAGAGAAAGCATAAAGCAGTACTGAATCAGGTCTTCGATGATCTGCCTTCTATTTTTAACCTGTGGACCATTAATGTGCTGTGAATTTGCCACTT